TAGGATTTAGGGTATTATGATAAGGGATGGGCTTAGGATGGGTATGGGTGGGAAGAGAAGAGGTGATAGGTTTAGGATAAGTTATGGGTATAAGGGAAGAGGAGCTATAGGAGATGGGGTTTAGGAAGAGGAGCTTTGGGGAAGGGGTTTAATGGGGAGTTATGGGTATAGGAGAGCTTGGGGAGCTTGGGGAAGGGAGGTGATAGGTTTAGGACGGGGAAGGGGAGTAGGATGACATGGGTATGGGTTTAGGATGGGAAGATTGGGGTTCTGGGGAAGGGAGAGGTATGGGTTTAGATGGGGAGTTATGGGTTATATAGAAGAGGAGCTTGGGGAAGGGAGGGATTTTAGGATGGGGAGCAGGGTATAAGGAAGAGAGCTTGGGGAAGGGGAGGTGATAGGTTTAGGATGGGGAGTTATGGGTATAAGGGAAGAGCTTGGGGAAGGGAGGTGATAGGTTTAGGATGGGGGAGTTATGATAAGGAAGCTTGGGGAAGGGTATAAGGAAGGGAAGAGGCTTGGGGAAGCAGGGTGGGAAGGAGCTGGTGATGGTTTAGGATGGAGTTATGGGTATAAGGGAAGAGGAGCTTGGGGGAAGGGGAGGTGATGGGTTTAGGATGGGGAGTTATGGGTTATGGGAAGAGAGGAGCTTGGGGAAGGGTGATGGGTTTAGGATGGGGGAGTATGGGTATAAGGAAGAGGAGCTTGGGGAAGGTGATAGGTTTAGGATGGGGAGTTATGGGTATAAGGAAGAGGAGCTTGGGGAAGGGAGGTGATGGGTTTAGGGATGGGGAGTTATGGGTATATGATAAGGGCGGTGAAGGGATAGGGGGAAGAGGCTTGGGGAAGGAGGTGATCAGGATGGGGAGTTAGATGGGGGAGCTTGGGAAGGGAGGTGGTGCATGGAAGAGGCAAGGGGGAGGATGAAGGGGGCAAGGGTGATGGGTTTAGGATGGTTAAGGCATGGGAAGAGGAGCTTGGGGAAGGGAGGTGATGGGGTTTAGATGGGAGATGGGTTTTATGGGGAGCTTGGGGAAGGGGAGGTGATGGGTTTAGGATGGGGGGAGTTATGGGTATAAGGGAAGAGGAGCTTGGGGAAGGGAGGATAGGTTTAGGATGGGGAGTTATGGGTTTATGGGAAGAGGAGCTTGGGGAAGGGGAGGTGATGGGTTTAGGATGGGGGGGAGTTATGGGTTTATGGGAAGAGGAGCTTGGGGGAAGGGGAGGTGATGGGTTTAGGATGGGGGTTAGCAGGGTTTTGGGGAAGAGGAGCTTGGGGAAGGGTGATGGGTTTAGGATGGGGAAAGAGCTGAAGGAGGTGATGGGTTTAGGATGGGGGAGAGGGTTTATGGGAAGAGGAGCTAAGGGGATAGATAGGAGGCTTGGGGGAAGGGGGTGATAGGTTTAGGATGGGGGAGTTAAGGGTATATGATAAGGGGCGGTGATGGGCTTAGGATGGGGAAGCTATGGGTTTATGGAAGAGGAGCTTGGGGAAGGGAGGTGATGGGTTTAGGATGGGGGGGAGTTATGGGTTTCATGGGAAGAGGAGCTTGAAGGGGAGGTGATGGGTTTAGGATGGGGGGTTATGGGTTTTATGGGAAGAGGAGCTTGGGGAAGGGGAGGAGGTGATGGGTTTAGGATGGGGAGTTATGGGTTTTGGGAAGGGAGCTTGGGGAAGGGGAGGTGATGGGTTTAGGATGGGAGTTATGGGCAAGGGAAGAGGAGCTGGGGAAGGGTGATGGGTTTAGGATGGGGGTTTGGAGGATGGGAAGAGGAGCTTGGGGAAGGAGGTGATGGGTTTAGGATGGGGGAGTTATGGGTATAAGGAAGAGGAGCTGGGAAGGGGAGGTGATGGGTTTAGGATGGGGAGTTATGGGTTTTATGGGAAGAGGAGCTTGGGAAGGGGTGATGGGTGGGTTAGGATGGGGAGTTATGGGTTTATGGGAAGAGGAGCTTGGGGAAGGGGAGGTGATGGGTTTAGGATGGGAGTTATGGGTTAAGGGGAAGAGAGCTTGGGGAAGGGAGGTGATGGGTTTAGGATGGGGGAGTTATGGGTTTTATGGGAAGGGAGCTTGGGGAAGGGAGGTGATGGGTTTAGAGATGGGTTTATGGATTGGGAAGGATGGGTTTAGGATGGGAGCTTGGGTTTTATGGGAAGAGGGGGGAAGGAGGTGATGGGTTTAGGATGGGGAGTTATGGGTTTTATGGGAAGAGGAGCTTGGGGAAGGAGGTGATGGGTTTAGGATGATGGGTTTAGTTATCGGTTTTATGGGAAGAGGGAGCTTGGGGAAGGGGAGGTGATGGGTTTAGGATGGGGGAGTTAAGGGTATAAGGGAAGAGGAGCTTGGGGAAGGAGGTGATGGGTTTAGGATGGGGAGTTATGGGTTTTATGGGAAGAGGAGCTTGGGAAGGGAGGTGATGGGTTTAGGATGGGGGAGTTATGGGTTTTATGGGAAGAGGAGCTTGGGGAAGGGAGGTGATGGGTTTAGGATGGGGAGTTATAGGGTTTTATGGGAAGAAGGAGCTTGGGGAAGGTGATGGGTTTAGGATGGGGGAGTTATGGGTATAAGGGAAGAGGAGCTTGGGGAAGGGGAGGTGATGGGTTTAGGATGGGGGAGTTATGGGTTTTATGGGAAGAGGAGCTTGGGGAAGGGGAAAATGGGTTTTATGAGAAAGGAGAAATGGGACACATGACATGATAAGACTGGATAAAGAGGTGAAGGCATGGGTAGAAGGAAGAGGAGGAGGAGAAGAGGAATTAATAGGAATCTAATATACTATAGCACTAGGCGTGCGTGTATCTGTTCTGGGCAGGCGAAACGGCACAATCGTTTTTCATCAAACTTAGTGGAAAAATCGCAAAAAAATCGTAGAGTGAACAAACCTGGTCCAATATCGATGGTTTCTTTAGGAACGCATTAATTAACAATTTTATTTACGCTGGCAACTGATGTCGCTGTACACTGTCAGCCGGCCGGACGATTGCAGTTATCGTACGGCCCCCTCCTCCTCCCCCCACTTTTTCTCTTAGCCTACTTTTTTTTAATGTTGTTTGGATTAGTAAAGAAAGGAAGGTGAGTAAATAGAAGAAAGAAGGGGAAACAGACAATAGTTAGAGGTAACAGGTGGGAGGGGAGCTGAGTTTTATCATGCGTTTGGAAGCGCAGTTTCAACTTTACCAGAGCATTTTCGGACCTTACGAGGCTACAGTGTGTACTTATTTCTCTCCTTATGGCGAATATTTCTTTAACTAATTATTCTAACCTTTATTCTATTCCTTCCTATAGTATAATTAGATACTGTAAGTATCACGACCACGACCATGATTATAACAACCACGACTATGATTATAACAACCACGACTATGATTATAACAACCACGACCATGAATATAACAACTACGACCATGATTATAACAACCACAACTATGATTAATAACACCTACGACTATGATCATAACCACGACCATGAAAAAACAACCACGACCATGATTATAACACCTACTACTATGATCATAACAACCACGACCATGATTATAACAACCATAACCATGATTATATCAACCACGACCATGATCATAACCACGACAATGATTATAACCACGACAATGAATATAAAAACCACGTCCATGATTATAAGAACCACGACCATTATCATAACAACCACGACTATGATTATAACAACCACGACAATGATTATAACCACGACAATGAATATAAAAACCACGTCCATGATTATAAGAACCACGACCATTATCATAACAACCACGACTATGATTATAACAACCATAACCATGATTATAACAACTACGACCATGATTATAACAACCACAACCATAATCATAACAACCACAACCATAATCATAACAACCACGACCATGATTTTAACAACCACGACCATGATTATAACAACCACGAATATGATTATAACAACCACGACCATGATTATAACAACCACGACTATGATTATAACAACCACGACCAGTCATAACCACGACCATGATTATAAAAACCACGACCATGATTATAACAACCACGACTATGATTAAAACAACCACGACTATGATTATAACAACCACGACCATGATCATAACCACGACCATGATTATAACAACCACGACTATGATTATAACAACCACGACCATGATCATAACCACGACCATGATTATAAAAACCACGACCAGGATTATAAAAACCAAGACAATGATTAGAACAACCACGACCATGATTATAACACCTACGACTATGATCAGATCCCTCACATCCTTCAACCACCAGATCCTTCACGTCCTTCAACCACCAGATCCCTCACGTCCTTGAACCACCAGATCCTTCACGTCCTTCAACCACCAAATTCCTCACATCCTTCAACCACCAGATCCTTCACATCCTTCAACCATCAGATCCTTCACGTCCTTCAACCAACTTATCCTTCACGTCCTTCAACCACCAGATTCCTCACATCCTTCAACCACCAGATCCCTCACGTCCTTCAACCACCAGATCCTCCACGTCTTTCAACCACCACATTCCTCACATCCTTCAACCACCAAATCCCTCACATCCTTGAAGCACCAGATCCTTCACGTCCCTCAACCACCAGATCCCTCACATCCTTCAACCACCAGATCCCTCACATCCTTCAACCACCAGATCCTTCACGTCCTTCAACCACCAAATTCCTCACATCCTTCAACCACCAGATCCCTCACATCCTTCAACCACCAGATCCTTCACGTCCTTCAGCCACCAGATCCCTCACGTCCTTCAACCACCAGATCCTTCACATCCTTCAACCACCAGATCATTCACGTCCTTCAACCACCAGATCCCTCACGTCCTTCAACCACCAGATCCCTCACGTCCTTCAACCACCAGATCCTTCACATCCTTCAACCACCAGATCCCTCACATCCTTCAACCACCAGATCCCCCAGAAGAATTCTTAAACCACCAGATCCTTCTTCATCAAACACAGATTTCTCCATCCTTCAACCGCAGATCCCTCATCCTTCGCCACCAGATCCTCACATCCTTCAACCACCAGATCCTTCACGTCCTTCAACTTCCAGATCCCTCGTCCTTCAACTACCAGATCCCTCATCCTTCAACCACCTGGTGTACGCCAGCCCAACCACAGATCCTCCATCAACCCAACCACAGATCCTCACATCCTTCAACCACCAGATCCTTCACGTCCTTCAACACCAGATCCCTCACGTCGCCCAACTACCAGATCCCTCACATCCCAACCCAACCCACCAGATCCTTCACGTCAGCCCAACCACCAGATTCTGCAATCCGTCAACCACAAATTCCTCACATCCTTCAACCCTGCAGATCCCTCACATCCTTCAACCACAGATCCTCACATCCTTCAACCACCAGATCCATCCACATCCCTTCAACCACCAGCTCCCTCCCATCCTTTAACCACCAGATCCTTCGTCCTTCAACCCTGCTCCCTCATCCTTCAACCACCAGATCCCTCACATCCTTCAACCACCAGATCCTTCACGTCCTTCAACCACCAGATCCCTCACGTCCTTGAACCACCAGATCCTTCACGTCCTTCAACCACCAAATTCCTCACATCCTTCAACCACCAGATCCTTCACATCCTTCAACCATCAGATCCTTCACGTCCTTCAACCAACTTATCCTTCACGTCCTTCAACCACCAGATTCCTCACATCCTTCAACCACCAGATCCCTCACGTCCTTCAACCACCAGATCCTCCACGTCTTTCAACCACCACATTCCTCACATCCTTCAACCACCAAATCCCTCACATCCTTGAAGCACCAGATCCTTCACGTCCCTCAACCACCAGATCCCTCACATCCTTCAACCACCAGATCCCTCACATCCTTCAAACCAGATTCTCATCCTTCAACACCAGATCCTCCTCACAACCACAGATCCCTCACGTCCTTCAACCACCAGATCCATCAAGTCCTTCTACCAGATACTTCACGTCCTTCAACCACCAGATCCCCTCATCCTTCAACCAGTCCTCATCCTTCAACCACCAGATCCTCCCGTCCTTCAACCACCAGATCCCTCACATCCTTCAACCACAGATCCCTCATCCTTCAACCACAGATCCCTCACGTCCTTAAACCACCGATCCCTCACGTCCTTTAGCCACCAGATCCTTCGTCCCCCAACCACCAGATCCCTCACATCCTTAAACCACCAGATCCTTCGTCCTTCAACCACCAGATCCCTCGTCCTTAACCACCAGATCCCTCACGTCCTTCAACCACCAGATCCCTCATCCTTAAACCACCAGATCCCTCCGTCCTTCAACCACCAGATCCTCCATCCTTCAACCACAGATCCCTCAGTCCTTCAACCACCAGATCCCTCGTCCTTCAACTACAGATCCCTCACATCCCAAACCACCAGATCCTCATCCTTCAACCACCAGATCCTCCACGTCCTTCAACCACCAGATCCTTCGTCCTTCAACCCACAGATCCCTCACGTCCTTCAACCACCAGATCCTCAAATCAACCACCAGATCCCTCACGTCCTTCAACCACCAGATCCTCGTCCTTCAACACAGATCCTCCATCCTTCAACACCAGATCCTCCACATCCCTTCAACCACCAGATCCCTCACGTCCTTCAACCACCAGATCCTCATCCTTCAACACCAGATCCCTCACGTCCTTCAACCACCAGATCCCTCAAGTCCTTAAACCACCAGATCCCTCACGTCCTTCAACCACCAGATCCCTCATCCTTAAACCACCAGATCCTCGTCCTTCAACCACCAGTCCCTCCGTCCTTCAACCACCAGATCCTCACGTCCTTCAACCACCAGATCCCTCACGTCCTTCAACCACCAGATCCTTCGTCCTTCAACCACCAGATCCCTCGTCCTTCAACCACCAGATCCTTCGTCCTACCAGATCCCTCCGTCCTTCAACCACAGATCCCTCACGTCCTTCAACCACCAGATCCTCCACGTCCTTCAACCACCAGATCCCTCATTCCTTCAACACCAGTCCTATCCTTCAACCACCAATCCGTCCTTCAACCACCGGATCCCTCACATCCTTCAACCACCAGATCCCTCACGTCCTTCAACCACCAGATCCCTCACGTCCTTCAACCACCAGATCCCTCAAATCCTTAAACCACCAGATCCCTCACGTCCTTCAACCACCAGATCCTCATCCTTCAACCACCAGATCTCCGTCCTTCAACCACCAGATCCTCCGTCCTTCAACCACCAGATCTCACGTCCTTCAACCACCAGATCCCTCCATCCTTCAACCACCAGATCCCTCGTCCTTCAACCACCAGATCCTCGTCCTTCAACCACCAGATCTCAAATCCTTAAACCACCAGATCCTCACGTCCTTCAACCACCAGATCCTCGTCCTTCAACCACCAGATCCTTCACGTCCTTCAACCACCAGATCCCTCGTCCTTCAACTACAGATCCTCAAATCCTTAACCACCAGATCCTCGTCCTCCAACTACCAGATCCTCAAATCCTTAAACCACCAGATCCCTCGTCCTTCAACCAGAATCCCTCACATCCTTCAACCACCAGATCCCCTCCGTCCTTCAACCACCAGATCCCTCACGTCCTTTAGCCACCAGATCTTACGTCCTTCAACCACCAGATCCCTCAAATCCTAAACCACCAGATCCCCACGTCCTTCAACCACCAGATCCCTCATCCCTTCAACCACCAGATCCCTCACGTCCTTCAACCACCAGATCCCTCAGTCCTTTGTACAGATCCTCCACATCCTTCAACCACCGGATTCTCATCCTTCAACCACTAGATCCTCACATCCTTCAACCACCAGATCCTTCACGTCCTTCAACCACCAGGTGCCTCACGTCCTTCAACCACCAGATCCTTCGTCCTTCAACCACCAATTCTTCGTCCTTCAACCACGATTCCTCACATCCTTCAACCACCAGATCCTCCATCCTTCCATCAGATCCTTCGTCCTTCAACCACGGTGCCTCCGTCCTTCAACCACCAGATTCCTCACATCCTTCAACCACCAGATCCTCACATCCTTCAACCACCAGATCCTCCACGTCCTTCAACCAAGCTTCACGTCCTTCAACCACCAGATCCTTCACGTCCTTCAACCACCAGATTCTCATCCTTCAACCACCAGATCTCCACGTCCTTCAACTCACCAGATCCCTCACATCCTTCAATCACCAGATCCTTCGTCCTTCAACCACCAGATTCCTCACGTCCTTCAACACCCAGATCCCTCACGTCCTTCAACCACCAGATCCTCTCATTCAACCCCAGATCCTTCACGTCCTTCAACCACCAGATTCTCGTCCTTCAACCACCAGATTCCTCACGTCCTTCAACCACAAGATCCTTCACGTCCTTCACTACCAGATCCTCATCCTTCAACCACCAGATCCTCACATCCTTCAACCACCAGATCCTTCACGTCCTTCAACACCAGATCCTCACGTCCTTCAACCACCAGATCCTCACATCCTTCAACCAGATCCTCCACGTCCCTTCAACCACCAAATTCCTCACATCCTTCAACACCAGATCCTCACATCCTTCAACCACCAGATCCCTCACATCCTTCAACCACAGATCCTCCACGTCCTTCAACACCAGATCCTCGTCCTTCAACCACCAGATCCCTCCATCCTTCAACCAGATCCTTCACCGTCCTTCAACCACCAGATCCCTCACATCCTTCACCACCAGGTCCTCACGTCCTTCAACCACCAGATCCTTCATGTGACAGTCATATACTCAACAAGACAGTCATACACGCACACACACGACAGTAATATACAGAAGAC